GCTGTGCGGAAGAAGAGGAAACGTCACTGGGCTATAAACAATAAAGAAAAGATTAAGGTCAGAGGTGCCTATATTTTTGAGGAGCACTTCGGTTAAACGGTGCGAGAAGAGGAAGCAGACCAGCGCAAAGTGTAGAATTCATGCACTGAGCAAGTGGAACAACGTCAGTTAGAGCGCCAGCAGAAACATCGGGACAGCATTAAGGCACGCAGAAAGACCAAGCTTCAGACAAAGATGAAGAGTTTCAAGAAGGAGGACCACATTGTTCCAAGATTTTGGGAAGATATTGGTGTTCTGGTTGCTGCTACTCTATGAGACATAAAAAACGGGGTTGGGTGTGATCTCAAAAGCCCATCGACCATTAAAAAAAAGAGGGGTCATATGTGAGACCTCATGTAATCAGGCAGCCCTGTGTTCCATGTTGAGCTCGACGGCACGCAGTTTTGTAGCTGTTCCTCGGCGCGCGCGTGCTCCATGGCGGCATTGATGCCGTAGCTCCAGTTTATTAAAGTCGTTTTTGCCTTATCGCTGCCTTGTCTACGTTGCTGAGTCCTCACAGAAGGAGAAAAAAAATTGAACTACAAAACACTGCCGCGCGACATACGACCGACACCCCACGGAGAGGTCTTCCCAAACCACTGAGTACTAGAAGACAGACTCGGCAGATGCTTGACATGGTGACCTCACTGACGAGTCGGGAGCCACCCTCTTCCTCATTCTCTTCCTTGCTTTTATTTGTTTTTTCGTCCTGTGCCTTTTTCGGTTTGGTTTCGCTTCACTTCACTTTCACTGGCAACACAAAACTTTAGTCTTACAGCTGTGCCCATAATGTCCACTACTCATCACAATACTGTAGGCCCGTGTGCTCAGATTTGAGTACACGTTAAAGAACCCCAAGTGGTCGAAATTTCCACAGCCCTCTACCACGGCATCTTTCATAATCATATGGTGGTTTGGGGACGTTGAACCACACGTATCAGTCATTGCTGGAGAAACCTAGTTGTCTCTCAGCACATTTTCATGCATGGACAAGGTGTCTGAAGCTAACGTAGCCATGTTGCATGCAGATGCAAAACTTTCACGTACTAACACGTTTACTGACAGATGTACGGACACATAGCCCCCTCCCTGTAAAAAGTTCTTGTTATTCCTTTATTTGACATGTCTTAATTAAAGCGGGTATCAGGGGCTGCAATCTACCTTTAGAGCCAACAACCTGACTTCACTGCAAGATTATCAATATTCGCAGTGATACGTACTCTCGGTCTGTCTGTGTAGGTTGGTAAGTCACAATTTAAGAATAAATACCTTGAAGCAGGTGTCATTTATTTGTTTCAAGTCAATCTTTTTTGAGTTATCGCTGACTGAATACAATAGTTTTCAAATTGTTTTCTAGAGCAATTATTTTTGACTTCTAAAAATCGGACTATTTGGGGACAGTATACTTCTATTTCTCTATCTTGTACTCGAGAAAGTAATCAAGAAGTATTTAGGTAATCAAGGCCAAGCTTTAAAAATCGGCGGTTGTCCACCGCCTACTTTAAAAATTCTGCATGGCTTGAAAACATGCACCTAATGCCCCCCTCACCCTTTTCCTCACACAGTTTTATTTGCGCAGTATTTCTCGTTTATTCTGATGTCTCATAATTCCGCGCAAAGATATATAAAAGAAGAGAAGGTACGTAGTAAATAAACACTTATCACAACGGGGCAACAACAAATACTTTAATGGTACTCTGTATGATAAAGTGAGCATGTTTCATGATTTCTAAAAACACTACCGATTCACTCCACACGCACAATGTCCACGTAGCCTTCATAGCTGACTAAAGTGCATTGCACACACCTTACAAATTATAGTCAGTTCAAACATAGGGACTATATAAGAAAATGCCTCAGAATGTCACAAAATATTATACTTTTTATTTTGATGTTATTTTTACCTTAACGGACTGTATTCACCGCCAGGTTATTATGAATATAACCCCCTGTTCGTTTCGTACACATGTGCTGTACAAGACAGTACTTGATGAAGAAGCTGCATGCACTGATCATGTCAAGTTGAAAAACTTACGAGAGGTGTTTCACGGCCCGTACCTGTGTCATGATTCCACAAAATCTTTAATAAATTGATGAACGACACTCTCGACAGAGCTGATAGAAATGGGCCTGCTAACTACAACCATTCACTACCTCACTGCCATCAACATTTTCAGCCTATTTATGTTTGCTGCAGGATGATGGGCTCTCCCAATGATTTACTGTTTATCCTGTTCTGTGTGAATTTAACCATTTTATGCCTACGAACTCCCTAATTTATTCACTCTATCTATCTCTCTTCTTCAATTGCGTCTCCCACACTTTGGAAAGCATTTCGTTGCCCTTGCTGTCTATCCGGTTGACGGCTCTACGCATTACATGACCCGCTCAGGTTCCTTTCTTTCTCTTTATGCTACAGTAGTTGCCTACAGTCATTTTTCACTTTAGTGTGAATAAGGAAACCGCATGTGTCCTCAAATGTCTTGTCGAGCTACTGGATACACGAAGTTTTTATGCTCAGAAGTTTGTTATGAATTTCGCACCCACAACCACACGCACACACACAAAAACACATAAAAATAAACAAAAAAGACATGCCACATGATCAACTCTACCAAGAGAGAATTATGGACAAAAGTCTCTGCGTTGAAATTTGTAGAATCTGCTCGTGCGCGTGTGTGCTACACCCCTGTACTGGCTGCACTTCTCTAGATGTTGAGTACAATTTCTGGCGGTAACATTAGCGGGCAGAGCAGAAATAATGTAAGCATTTGATATAACTCTGCTATTTTTCACTAAAGAAATCCAGGTAAATGTGAAAGATAAGCTAAAACAAAAGGCATCTAGGAAATATGCACCTGTCTTCCACATGACTAAGAAAGTTGCCCTCGCGCATTCACTGTCGAGATAGTGTATTATTACAGAAAATTTAGGACGACGGCACGTACACAATTGAAACATTACAACGAAGGTCACCGCATGTCACGGGATTGAATCCCAGCTGCGGCTACTGCATTTTTGATGGAGGCGAAAACGCTGTTGGTCTGTGTACTCAGATATAGGGACACGTTAAAGAACCCAGGTGGTCGAAATTTCCGGAGCCCTCCACTATGGCACCTCTCATAATCATATGATGGTTTTGGGACGTTAAACCCCACATATCAATCAATCAACAACGAAGATTGTTGGCATCTATCGTTCAGTCATGGCGTCAGACAAAACGAACTCGTGTGGCACATTTGTGCAACATGTGTGCAGCGTGCGTACCGACATTAACACCATCAGAACTTGATGAAGTACCGCGGATATCTGCACGATAACTCATTGCATCAGTGAAAACCAAGTTTTCTTGTGAAAAATTCCAAGCTCAGGAATCACACAGTGGTGTATATAGGCGCGGGATCCGCTTGCGTACGGGATGCGCAACGCCGTGAAATGCACGTTCCAACTTAGGTTTCTCTTTACTTCGATTGCTGGGGTGAGAAACAAGTGCGCTGACCGGCGTTCGCGGTGCTATTAACATTTGAGCGGATAGTCTTCTTTGTGTTCGCAATGGCATCAGCTATTATTGTCGTCTTGCCTTGTACCGTTACTCCTCTGAATACTTTCAAGTTCACCCCAGAGTAACAGCACGCGCAGTTTTCGACAGCCCGTAGATGGGAGACCTTGCATAATCTTTATGCTGCGTAACCTGCATCGTACCTCATATGCTCTATAATTACTCGAAGAAACACATTTTTATCAGCGTTGAAAATGTTGCAAATGAGCAAAATAAAATGAATAAATTTCTCAAAAATATCAACTAAAATATTATGCTACAGATTTATGTTTTATGTACCATAACTTGGGTTTTTACTTGTTTTATAATGCATTCTAAAACCAATAGCAGTGCTTTTGATCAGAAGAAGAAGCTGTTCCGCAAATAATTAACAAGTTTAATCTGATCAGTCATGTCTTAATGATAAGGAGGATGAATGGGTAAGGTAGCATTTCTTGGTGATTGCGGAAATAAAACATTCCCTTCGCCTGTTTCTATAAACCTTTGCGTTGTAGAAAACCACCAAGAACTATACGAGGCCTTTGTTACACTGTGTACTCCTAGAGGCTTCAAACTTTTATCTGATTAGCTCCGTCAGCGTATTTCGCAGGTTTTTTTTTTCTTTCAGCAAGTAAGGAGCCTCACTATTTCACTCAAAAAATAAAAAACCGCCTCACTTGCCTAAAAAAGTGTATAGGGAGAGCGAAAGTTTTGGTGAATCTTTATGAACTCTAATGTGTTGAAAGGACCACCCACAGAGTGGTTCTATGTGTAATGCCAGAGAAGATTTTGATTTCGACTACATAATTAACTAATCTCTGTACATTCGTTCTTTCTCGGCTGCACACTAGAGCTCACTATATCAGGCTGACATCTATTTATTTGCCGTGAATAATCTTTCGACGCGAGTGGCTGCGCTTCACCATACATCAGCGATTTCGTGTTTAAGATCGCAGTCCACTACGGTTCCTGATGAAGAGTGAAATGACGGCATCGGACAAGAATTCGAACGCACTTCTTGATATTTTATCAAACTTTTCATCACTGTCTGTATGTTTGTTATTTGAAAAGATGATGCAGATGGGTGTCATACAAGCACGGAAGGCAGTCAGTTACGTTTTTAGTACTAATTTGTAGGAGCCAAGATAGAACAACTGCACGAATAATAGGGCCCGAGAAATGAATTTACTCAGTCTTTCAGCGCTTGCTGTAAATGCCTATTCCCTGTAAACAAGAATTTATAATTTTGCGTAGTTACGTTTTGCCATTCGCCCAAGCAAACTTAAAAAGCTCTTTCCAGTAAGTGAATACGACTGTCAGCAATATACCTCTGCCCTCGTTGATCTTTGATATAAAGCTCAGTCTTTCAAGTTAAGAGCTGGCTACGTGAAGCAATGCGCCCATTAAAAAGATTGAACAAATGTTCAGAGAAACAAATGTTTATTTGTCTTCGTCATAATTTTATAAAAGGCTACGCCAGAACATGAAGCTGCCAGGAGCCTGTGATTAAGCACGTTGCAGCAGTATAGGAACTGTCAACACGTCTAGGGCTCAGTTCTTCAATTTACTTGGAGCGAATTTCTTTCAGTGGTGGTGATGGTGGTGACCAGCCTCTGGATCGCAAACTGTGGAAGCACTGTGTATTTCCGAGATTTGAGATTTCTATAAAGAAAAGGACAAAAAGAGAATGCCATCGGGCTTACTTACAACATTCGATATCCCGTCAAGCAATTCAAGTTAGCCATTCACGTCCTCTTCATGTTATTATCACTATATTTTTACGTAATGCTAATTTGACCAAATACAATCTTCGCATTTAGTTATGATGTAACAATGTTCCGCGCGTTTATTGAATTTACGAGATGGCATGAAAAATGCAAGTATTGTGAATCAGAACCCACGAAGGTTAGCAGCATACCCTACAGAACAAACACAGTGAATGACCGAAGAATGAAGACAGCAAACTGACGTCCACCATGTGGCATAAAAATCACGCCGAAAAGACAGTAAAATAGCGGGTGATGGCTGAACCTAAAGACATAATGCAGCTGTGAGTTAGAAGAAATACAAAGAGGCTAATTCATATGCTAATTCATGCACACTTATTTCCCGTCTTTAAGCAAGCACCAACTAGGCCAGCAAAAACTCCTCTTAAAAATACAGCTGAGCCAAACACTTCATAAAAAGATAGTTTGTGGTCTTGAATTCAGTTGTCTACACTGGCTAAATTAAGCATGTCACGCATGGTGTCTTCAAAGCTATTTCAACATGCATTTATTAACTTTACACTTTCATGTAGCGCTTACTCCCTGCATACAAACACTTGGCAGCGCATATATGAGTACTCATATTCAGTCATTATAAGTACTAGCGCGCCTGGGTTCTACATTGTCAAGCTACAATCAGACATTGGCAACTAACCCAAAGACAAAAACAAAAATTTCTGCCCCCCTTCTTTTATAAAACATGCGCGCACATTTAATTAAAGATGACTTAGTGCAGCCAAAAGATCCACGCGTACTTTTAGTCCTGCGAATGATTAAAGTAAGGACTACCGCACATTCGAATTAAGTCTATGCCGTAGCAAATCGAAATGTTATTATTTAAACATATTATCATTACGTTGTAGTTGTTATAGCGGCTTGATACAACCCTTACATTGCAACCCAAGTCTTCCACTTCAGCCCTCAGTACTGGTTCTTTTACGGAAACATCACAGTAACGCTGTAAAATAAACTGGGTCATACTTACAGACATGCTTGGTATGAATACCTATGATCCTCGTACAGGCGACTCTATAAAGTAACATTATTTTTATGAAATAAACACTTACCGTAAAATGGTTCGCCATGGCAGCTTCCTATTGAACAAAAGAGAGTGAAAAGTTTTTGTAGGTTTGCGCACGCACTGCGAACATTTTACGACACGATTACACTTCCGTTGATATTTGACGGTTCACTGTTATGTCAAAGTTGAAATGGTATTTATCCAAAAATTTCACATTTTTGAACCATCGTGTAGTTTGGGAAATTCCATTTTCTCTTAGTAAACGGTACTTGTCGTTTATGGTTCTTCTACAATAACGTTAAAATATCTAGCAAGAACATTCGGTTAAGTATATTTTGCCATTCCGTGTCTCATTTTTTACCGACAATATTTACTTTATAAAAAAACACTGTAGATTCTCACTAACGCCTCTACGTTCATCTTGACGTGTGTGGTGTCTTTAGCCACGTCGCATTAGGACAACTAATACGGTTTCCTTTTTTTCCTTTACGCTTATTCCTTTTTCACAGACATTGGTGCTGTCGCACGTTAAAGGTAACATGCAACTTTAAAAGAATGTGTTTTTATCATTAAACATGGGCAATAAGAATGGTCGTATTGAATCCTGCATGAAGAATATAATGTATATAGACTGTTGCCTGCTGTTCAGCAAATATGGGAATTTAGTCTTTGGGACTTCCTATAACCAAGAAGTTTTCAACGACTGCACGCTATTACCTGGAACCTGATGCGTTGGCTTCGCTGTTGGGTGTTAAAAAGCCCGATAAAGAAGAAGGCAAGAATGTAAATTTAAGGGCCCATTTTGTTTATTACGCCCATTATTATTGAGAACTAACAGACATTGATGCCAAGAGAAGTACATGAGATCTTATTAGAAATAATTGTAATGTAAACGTGAAGAAAAAGAAGTGTATGAAAAGATAACTTGGTACCGACAGAAAAAGAATCACTCACAAGGTCGTTTCCAACGCACAACTTCCGGATAACGCAGCTCCAGTCTTTGCAGCCGAGAGTTTTCAATGCCTTGTTAAAACTTTGGTTCGCCTGCAACATACCATCAAGGGATCAGTTTACATGGCCGCACGTTACGAGAATTTCTCAGACACACACACACGTACACATGTACACCAAAACCCACACAAGATTGTATACACATCTGACATTTAGATATTTTCAGCTCACAGAAAAACAAGGCAAATGATTCACATCACCTGCAGATAGCCACCACTTCGTTTATTTTTTTTTCGAATGACATGCATTTCCGACAGCTCTCACTGCGTACAATTAGGTAAAGTTTTTTGCCGAAACTGCAGGGTATGGTAAACAGAAGTGAACGAAAAATGTGTAAAACGATTCTCGAGCCACAAGACAAAAATACTAGAGAAGGAAAGGCGGGGAGGTTAAACAGTCCAGGATAACCAGTTTGTTATTCTAAACATGGGAACAGGATGGGGGAGATTGAAAGAGGAAGAAGGAGTGGCAATCTAATCACAAGCTTCGCTCTATGTGCGTGTAGTTCCTGTCTTACCTCTGCTGAGATATGCAGCCCAATGCACTGGAGTTCAGTTCTCAGCTGATCGTCTTGTTTCTCTGCGCAGAAGAAAACCGGGCACTTCGGTCAGTAGTATAGACAGATAAACCTTATAAAGACACGGGTGCATATTTCAAAGATCAGTGAAAATTGCTTTCTATGTTCCAGCATTGGCGCACCAAGGGAGCATGTCAACTCTAACATGCCCACCGTTGAAAACGTAAATGCTAGAAGGGCAAGTCATGAGCATAATAGAGGAGTGGCGGCAAGTGGACTCCTATACAACTTTAGAAGTCTGCGTCATTTCTTCCGCAGAGGCGAGTGCACAAAAACCTGCATCTACAAGAGCGCAGTCGAGACTGCTGTGATTGGCCGGACTGTCGGTGACTCCGCCTGCGGGCAACACTGCTGAGTGCACCAGCAGGATTAATGCTTAAGTCACATAGGTGTTCGGCTACCGCACTTCCGTCTTCTTGGCGGCGCATATCTGTACCTAAGTTCTTGTTGTATCCAAGTATAATATTTGCAATGTCGTTGAGTGCAAAACAGTGCAGGAAGTGACGTTGGAGACAGAACAGACGATCGCTTATAATCTAAGTTTAATGTAAGGTTTTCAAGAAAGCGGAGTGGGTATGAAAGCGATGTAACAGACAAAATCGTCACGTAAAAAACGTGAATTTATCATACATAATAACACCTAGTAAGAAAGCATTTTTCTTAGCCGTCAGCGCAACTACATTAACACATGTGTGGTAATTGATGAAATGCATGTATCGCGTATTTGGCTTGCCTGATGTATTTGACTATCAACAGTTCTCTGTCGTACTGCAGTCCGCCCAATGACTTTACAGTGGGTCACCAAATGGCTCCGAAATCAACGCTTATGCAATCAATCACTTTGTGAATACAAAATAGGAGGTCACGAATGTGGTACATCTAGATAAACATGACTGCCATTTTCAAAAGGGCTACAGTTACTCTTTAAAGTTTTGTGGAGGAACTGCGCAGTTACCCTTGAAAAGGGCTCTTCGCTCCTCCTCAAGACAGAATGCTTGCAAAAGGTTGCACACGGCATGGCAAAAAGGGACACTTTCCTCCTTGCGGGGTAAAGCGCCCGTTTTTCGGAGTAACTGCAAAAATGTTCGCGTCATGCGCAAATCACCCATCGGTGCCTACACAAGCTTGTTTCCTTTCAGACGGTGCCTAAGCGTGGTGTGGTGCAGTGGTTAGTGTACGCGTATGCTGGCTGAGTGGTTGTGTGTTAAAATCCCCTGTGTTTGCTGCAAATTTTTCAAAATTTATTTGTGATTGTGATGCTTGTATATTTATTGTAAATCTGATCAAATGCCAGCACGCTGTTCGAAAGGCTGGTTAAGCAAACAAAAAACCTGATTTTTTTTTTTGCTAACAGTTGCGCGTTTGAGAAGTAACCGCGAGAGCGTGGTTACTCCTTCGCAGTTACTCCCAAAATGGTGCAATGGGTGTGGCAAGTTAGTTACTCCTCTAAAGAAGCAACCTAGATGCCTCTTTTCCTCGTTTACTTCTTACAGTGCAGATTTCACTTTTGACGTTCAACAGCGTGAATGGTGTCGCTCTGCTGAAACATTGCAAAATTACGACATTTTACGCGGTAATGAACATTTTGGCCGTTAAATTATGTAGAAGAATGCAATCAAATAATTACGTGCACCAAGCAGCATATAAAGATGGAATATTTGAGTCGATGCACCTTGAAGCATCCTGCATACTCACTGCAGAGCTCGAGATGGTGGGCGAAGCTCACAGCGGCGAACGTTGCAAGCAGGGCACAGACCACAAAAGCCTTCATGTTTACTCTCTTGTTCTTCGCTGTATGAACACGACTGAATCGAAAAGGTTGAAAGTGGTGAGTGGTGCGGACAGTCGAAACAGCGTCCCTATTTATACTGCAAAGAACGCTGTCCAATTGCTGCTGCAACACGTGGTACCTGTTACCTACACGAGGTGCCAGACAGACGTCACACAAACGAGCAATAACGAAGCTTTTTCTACTCTTTTGGTCAGACGTGGCGTCAGGTTTGCAAAGTGCACGTGTGACCACTGACGCTGCCAACAACAGCCCTCCGTTCTTTCTGATGCTCACGCGCAGGAAGCAGCCCTCAACGCATAAGAAAACTGCTGCCGTGTACGTGAGAAAATCAAGGACACAAACCACTCGCCACCGAAGACGCGCGCGCTGTTTCTCGCTGTTCGCAATATTCGTTGCACGACGCCGTGAAATTAACCTCGTGTGGTTCCTTCCTTCGAGATCCGCCGGCTGACTGAGAAACATGGTTCATGGTCTATGTGCTGAGTAATAGTCACTGAAGTTTAGCATTGCGTTGTGTATAGTTACTTTTCTTTAATTCATTAATGTAGATTCGCCATTTCTTCATATTTCCTGGTAGCTTATTCTGAAGCGCCTCGGTCCTCTTCGCCTGCAGCTTAAGAGCCCCCCCCCCCCTCCCCACGATGTTTCTCCTGCCTTTCCTGCTTTTTTTTTTCTCACGACAAATGTGGGAAGATCGTTCTCGGCTGGCATGCATGAAGGTCTCCATGGTGGCAGACCGAGTCTGTGGCGCCGCACATACGCTAATGGCAAGTTACGTTGGTTTATCACTAGTTTTTTCTTCGGTCCTTGCACGTTTTGTTTTCCTTTGCTCTTTTCTTATTCTCGCAAGTGCGGTGAAACTGCTTATTATGCAGCGCATGGGTGCAGCGTTGCAATGGGCTTTTTTTGTTATTGACTAGCACAGAGTGCTAGAAGAAAAAGTTCAGTAACGCGGCTCTGTTCACTGGCCTAGACATTCTTTCTACGCTATAGTCCTTCTTAACTATGCTGAGGTACCGGAGCTCTCCACTACGGCGTCTCTCATAATCATATAGGGGTTTTGGGACGTTAAACCCCACATATCAATCATCAACTATGCTGAGGTAGTTGGAGTTGGAAGTTTTAGCATATTATAACATAAAAAATAGTGCTCGGCAATGCATGGATTAACTTCTCGTGAGTACAAGAAAAAAAGATTAGTACAACAAAGTGAGAGTACCCGATTTTAGGTTTTTCTATCAAAATATGCGCCATTTTTGGTAAATTAATTTGAAGGCGTAGGGTTCTTAAAATCGAGACAGCTGTCACTGCATTTTGTAGCATTTGCATATTTCCTATTGTTGGAAATAAGGAGAACGGGGAGCAAATAATTGAAGTAAAAACAGCATTAGCCAGTTCTCTAACCGGCTAGCTACACCATGCTGGGCGAAGCTAAACAAAGGACAGTACCAAATAAATATTAAGAAAAGAGAAAAAAGTGGCCGCCCGAGAATTCCGTACAGATGCGTAAACGGCGAAGCTGAAAAGTGTGACCCCAACGTAGAAAGTGTGTTCACTGGATTAATCCAGACGGTTCATAAAGATATTTCTCAATTACTTATTACGTGTGTCTATAAGTATTAATTGGTGTTTGCTGACACTGTGTGTTATCTTCTTCATTTTCAGTGAGCCACTAGGGAGTATGATTTTCCTTATTTCTGTGACACATACATTTTCGCTACAAACCCCGTATAGCAATAACAAACCGCATAGTGTTCTGTTTCATTCGATAGTCGAATCGAATAGCTCACGTTTTAACCTCTGAATGTTTTGGAATTTTCGTTCGGGTACTTGTAGAGTAATCAGCACTGATAAGAAAACCCAAAGAACAGCACCTTGAAAAAGTGAAACATATTTTCATTTTTAATAACTTGCAAATTACGGTTATGCAAGTCATTACGGGAATAATGAAGCAAATAAGTAGGTGAAGGAAATATTGCTTTTTGCTCCTGTGTCTGTGAAGCGAATGACTCCTCAATCATTTATTGGTATCGTAATATTCGTCAGGTTCGTTCATGAAATAATATTTAACTTAGGTCTTAGTGTTATTTAAAAGCTGGTCGCAAAGTACCACATAGAATACGGAAGTAGTAGCCTAACGACTGTGTTCACCCTCACTGTTCTAGTCAGGGCGGGGAGGGGGAGAGGAGGGTGGATGAGCTCGCTCGGAATTTTCAATTTTGCATGTATGGGGGTACTCACACAAACAAACGCATGCACGAAAATTCATAAAAAATAATTGAACCCCCCCCCCCCCCCCCCATCTCACCGCCACTACCACCACCGCTGAAAGAATATCTGGTAACGCCAGCCTACACATCAAAAATACCTCGAAGGCTCTAGTCGCTACCGTCTATCAGCTTACCTCAGTTCACACTATAGCGGTAATTTTTTGTTAATTAACTGTGGCGGTAATCTTACTTCGTTAAGGTTTTTAATTATTTCTTGGAATTCATTGTTCTACAATTATAGGCCTGTCTTGAAAACGATTCCCTTATTATTCGAAAGCTTTTCGAATAGTATGTATTTCTCATTCGATTCGACCCTAAATTTCGCTATCCCTAAATATTGTTATTATTATTATTATTATTATTATTATTATTATTATTATTATTATTATTATTATTATTATTATTATTATTATTATTATTATTATTATTATTATTATTATTATTGTTGTTGTTGTTGTAAAATTACACTACTTACAAAGCCCTAGTTTTCGCCCGAAGAGAGAAAACTTTATGGGCGGCATAACAAGGTCGTCGAATTCAGCTTGCCAGTGGTTCGAAGGATGGTTGTTGCCAGTAGCTCACCATGACCCTTTCGGCACACTTATTATGTTGCTTGAGGGGATGAGTGTGTGAATGTGTGAGTGTTTCGAGGGGTTTCCAAGTGGCTGTAAATTTTTTTACAATATGACGAATTACAAACTAGCCCAACTGCAAGTTTTAATAATCCTGCCACAATATATGTAAACGTTTTAGAGGGGCAGTGCTGAGTAATGAGGCTTGCCAATTTCTGTACCATATAAGCGACAGAACTTTTTGCTTACACAGGCTGGGCCACTTTTGGATTCACCTAACCATATACAGCTTCGCTGAGTAAAGGGAAAGGAAGAGGAGGGGGGAGGAGAAGTGAAGAATCCAACACTGCTTGAAGCCTTCATTTTGAAAACTTAAACTGCGCTTGGAACAAGGCACTAGAGTAGACGACAACGAACGCAGACGAAAAAGCAGTTTATTGAAACCCCACAATTTTGTCTCCTGGAACAATGCGCGTGCGAAAGAACAGTCATGGCCTCTATTTCACGCAAGAAAATTATCTCTTTCTTGAACATATACACAGGTGGTTTGCGGACGCAAATGTCTGTTCTCTGTCTTGATATCCATGAAAATTCTGAGATCTCGCGTGCTTTTTGGTCCTTCGCTTACCCTAGCACATTTGCAGTGTGAGAAATTGGCTCGCAGTTCTTGAAACTTGTCCTACAGTAAACTGGCAGGTGTTTCCCCCTGCCATCTTCGAGTGAGAGTGCTTCATTAAAGGATTATTAGTGCAGGTTCAGGTATGTCCCACCCCAAAAGTCAGGGGGCTTCATACGCCACCTCCGTTTCTAAAAGTACATGCACGTGTTGTCTATAGTAAACGTAAGGGGGAATATTTGTTGTCTTTAACGGCAGTGTAGTGATCCTAGCTTTCATTGAAAAGAACTATAGTGGACGGAAAATCACTCTTCCTGGCGGCGATTGTGGAAATTTTTGCGAGTGGCTGTCACAGGACAGGCGACGTTCACCATAGATGGCGGCTGACCAAAAAATATGCATGCTACCTAACACAATGTAACGAGACGTGGTTTGTTTCTTAAGGTGTAGATGGGGGCGCTGATCGTCCCACCTGATTACGAGGCTGCTTGAAGGTTGTGAATACACTTTATACTAGCATGAATAAAAATAAACAAACACACACGTACAAAAGCACAAGAGACGAGCAGAAAGAAAAACTTTAGGAGGCTAATTTCCTCTCCAGCGAAACAGACCATTGGGATTTCCAGCAAGGGCTTACAGACTTGATGTCCGAATTGTTTCTACGGTACGAATAGATGCATGAGCCCAAAGGAGGGTGATGGCTTTCAAGAGCCTGGCGTCGCCTTGCGAAGGTTGGCAATGACACTGGAGTTTGGGTAATGACGGCGGAGAGTGCACACGGCCAGGTGTATACCCCTTAGCCTGAACTCCGGAAACACGTTGCCGAGGTTAGACACTCTAGCTTGGTCACCCGACTCTGCCTTACACCAAATTCCATCTCTCTATTTTACCCTTCCCCGCACGAACACTTTTTTTGCGCTTGTTCTGCGCCTGATCAGCGTCCACGTCTCTGTCGTTTTCTCTTGCTGCCACCCACAGAGGCTCACCCGCTCGTTCACGCGCACACCACAGAAGCCATCACTCAAATATTTTGTTCTTTGAGCAATATGAACGAAATAACCCACGTCATATTAGGGCCCAGTACACTCTACACCATAAACCAATCACTTCATGGCAAAGGTTTTCACTCCTGCGTTTGAATACAGCCAATAAAGTCAGCGCCATCATCTTCAGCACCGTTGATATACTGAACGGCAAACATGTACCCTTGCAGCGCTAAGCTCCACCTGAGTACTCTATAATTCAAATATTTAAATTTCTGCAACTACTTAAGTGGTTGGTGGTCCGTCTGCACTATAAATTGTTTGCTATGAAGATGTATATGAAATGGCACCGTGGACGCTGAACAGACCGTTGGTGTCCCTACATATTCCTGAAATTACAAAAAAGCGTCGTGTTAGTTGTGCTCCTTCAAACAACTCACTCTGGCTCTTTTGGCTCAACGATAAGATGATTCTATTCCTGTATTCACTGATGAATCTGTGACTTTATTCGCTTTAGTTAGGGCCTTTGTGACACCTCACTTAGTTACATCTCTAAAATACAAGTTGGACCATAAGTCGCCCTCTATAGCTGCGGAACTTGTCGCAATACGGATATCCGTCCAGTTTGTGTCCAGAGAAGCACCACGTAAATGGTTGATACTATATGACCCAAATCTGCATTGCGAGCCATTGACTTCTCTTCAAAGAGCAGACAAAA